TTTTCTATATAAAATATGCAAGAAAATTAATTGATTAATACAATAATTTGTAAACAATTTATTTTGCTGTTTTTATTTCGCTGATAATATGGTATATGCGAAATTTGAATAACTCGTACAATTATATATATATATATATATATACATAAATTAAGCTGATTTATTCCACGATTTACAAATAAAAACTGGAAACTAGGTTCTAAAAAAATAGGTAGTAAAAAATAAAAGTGAAAATTAGACAGACATCGTTTGTGACTATGTATCATAAGACAGAGAGGGGGGGGGGATAGAGGACCTTCAGAAAGAAAGTGTCGTATCTCGTAAATCGAAATATCCATTGTTTTTTAAATGGGAGAGGACGAAAGCTAAAGCTCTTGTCGATCATTTCATCAATTAAATATCCTTTTGTTACTCGCCCAACTTAAGTTGTATAGATCGAGAGTCAAAAAGCAAACGAAATGAATCATAGAATACAAAAGTATCAATTTAACATTAAACATGATCAAACGACAAATATATAATTCCCAGAGATTGAATGAATAGAATCAGTTATTTATTCATGTGAAAATTTTCAATTAAATAAGAAAAATATGCGTTTTCTAAATACTTAAATGTTCCTGAAGATGTTTTTTCTATATACAAATTTTAAATACAGATAACTTGTAAATATTAGTGTATTTTATTCTAAATATCATATCTCTCTCATATCAAATATAATATCACATATTTAGAATAAAATATATTAAAAGTGCTGAAATAATAGACATTATTATGTATAATTAATGTTTTTTAATTGTTCAGTATTATATATATAATATGATTAAACTAAATTTTTAATTTTAATAGGTATTTACATTTTCTTTAACTCATAGATCATCGTTCAAGAAGTAAATAATAAAATGACCAACAATAATTTGAAACCAAGTACTACAAATCAATTTTGATTTATGAAATTTCATATTCTTTAAATTTAAATGTCTGTCAAAATGGTACAAATATCTCCTTTAAAAAAAAAAAAAATAAAGTATTGATCCTACCATTATTTCTCAATATATATCACATTTTCTAATAGTTTATTTCTTGTTATGCATTTACACAACCCAGATTTTTATAAATTAGTTGCAACGATTAAATTAATCAATTAGTATTTTAAAAACTAGAATGTAAGAAAGTATTTGAAAATTTTTTACTAATAAATCAAAATACAGAAATTACATTCATATTTTTTTAAACAAGAATGCAATTCATAATATCTTAAATTAACAATTTAAAATTATTAATGCATTAGTCGAGCAAATTAACTAGAAAAACGCTTTTGTATTTTAATAAATTGAATGTAAAGAAATATTCTCATAACAAGCTTAAAAAAAATATATTAAACGTTTTATAATCCACTTGAGATATATAATAATAAATGCCAAAAAATAGACTTCAGCTATACATTTTATATATAAAAGAAAAAAAGATTAAATGGCATTTGTATAATACTTATACAACAGACAAAGAAGAGGGTATAAAGGCATTTTTTATCCGTACATTCTAGAGTCAAAAGTATCATTGAATATTCACATATCATTCGACATGAAATTTTTTATAAATGAATCAATACTTATAATCTAGTGTATCAAATGAATTTAATTTTACAAAAAGTTCGGCAAAGAAATTTGTAAGTGAATAGATATGAACACACATATGTAATTAGAAACCTAATTTGATTCTCTAATTTTTAATTCGATAATGTAAAATTATACATTTTTTTTTAATTGAAATATCTATTTAAACAAAAAATTGAAATTTGAAAATTGAAGCTTTGAGAATACTTTTTTAAAATTATTAGAAATGTAACCGTTCCTTCATAAAATATTAAAAATTAAACTTACGTTTAAATAAACAATTCAACTTCAACCTGAAAAGTGCAGTGCAGGATTCCAAATAATTCAAAGGTTTTTTATATAAAATACCCATCGTACGATGTGCTTTTCTCACTATTGGAAATACGAGAAAGAACTACGACAGAGACACGTGTTCACAAAACTTTCATGATGCAGTCGAATCTTTCCATGTTTCTCTTTATTTTGAAAATTCGACTCCAACTTACATATAGATTTGTTTGAAGACGAAAATTGAATTCGATAAGTGTCACTGACTTCAATAGCATCCTTTGCTTTTATTGAATGACAATCATGTGAAATAAATTCATTAGATATTTTTGCTTATTTTACATACTTTTTAGCATAGACATTATTCTTTTTTATTCATAAATTTCATAATCTCATTCAAATATATAAGCAAAAACTTTTTTTATATGATAAAACCTTGATTTTACACCGTCTTTTGATTTTACATCGGCTAAAATACAATAACAAGCAAATTTATAAATACAATTTTCACAAAGAGTCGACTAGAATTTTCTTTGTTTCTACCTTAATATTCATATTCATTAAAAATTTTATTGTTTCTACGTTAATTTTGGTATCCACGAGAATTTTCTTTTTTTTTTATGTTAATGTCTATATCCATTTTTTATTCAATTATGAAATATGGTGTTAGATTTTTAAAATAAATATTAATTGTATAAATTAATTTTAGAGTTTTATTAAGAAAGTATTTCAAAATTGAAATCTCACTAATTATGTTTTAATTTTTGCAAAGTTATTATTTGAAAAATTGTTTGAAAAAGTGTATAAATTATGTGAATTCATATTAATTTAATTCATCGTGGAAGTCAAAATTATTTTTATCTCTACTTGAAGGAAAATAATAAAAAAATCTATCTTGTTATAAATTAATGATATTCAAAATTACTGACTCTCAATCATGGCATTTTATCATTTGAATGAATTCTCAAAAACTTTTTTTTTCTTCTAATATTTTCGCGATTTTAATTATTTCAAAGTCTGTATTACTTTTATTCTATAAAATTTTTACACAATTTACGTCTACTATATAAATTTTTATTATATAGTTATCTAAATACTTCATTTAATATTATGAAAATAAAAAATTTTACGAAATATCGGTAAATGATGTACAAGGCCGGCGACCATTATTATCGAACAAATTAATAAAATTTATAAACTAACTTAACACAACTGGATTAACGGATTTCATCTGTAAACTAGCATAATTATTCTTGCAATGTATAAAAGTAATAAGGCATGATATTTAATAAGATTTATGAAAATTATCAATACATTTGACAATAAGCATATGAATTAGCTCATTTTTAATATTTATTAAATATAAATATAAAAATTAACATCATTAGTAACTTTAGAAATTTTGTTTTAAAATGCTTGGTCCTATTCATATTTAAAATTCTATATATTAATTAAAATTTATAATAATATTATAATAAGATAATAATATTCAATTTTTTATTCATATGACTCATATCATATTCTTAGTTCAATACATCTGTGTCATTGAATATTTGGTTACTTAGTATTGAGTAGCCAAAAATTTCTTTATTAAAGTAAATATTTAATAATTACCTTAATTAATAATAACCTTAATAATTTAATAATAACCTTAGTTAATAAAAGATTTATTAAAAACTTATGATAATTACAAGATTTTTAATTTCTTAGATATTTCAAAGCAATTTTGTATTAAAGGTGTTATGCCTTCATACGAAATTGACTATTTCAAAAGGAAATTTGAAAAGGAATTTGAAAAGGAAAGTATGAGTAAAAATTAAGGTTGTTATTTTTAAATTTATTAATGACATATCTCACTATTAAGATGATTAAAAAATTAATTACTTACCTACTGAGTTCGATTTTATAAAAATATATTTCCATAAATTATTAAAACTTTATACACACACATACACACACTTATATATATATATATATATATATATATATATATATATATATATATATATAATTATTATCGAAAATATTTAATCTAAAAAATTTCATGGAACTAGTAAAAGTTTTTAATATTTTGTATTAATATATTATTCTATGTTAAATATTTTTTATCGATAATTATAATTATTTTGCTTCAATTTGTTTAATTATAATCTTAACAAAAGTATTTCTAGATGTTTATTTTAATAAATGTCAGAAAATCCTTATTATACATTACATTACTCAGTAAGTAATAATTGTATTCGAAATCACCCTGAGAAAATCATCCTCATAGTAATTTTATAATTTTTGGTCATTTAAGCTCTTGCCTGGATAGACATATTGTCATACAATTTTGGTTCATTTCTCTTGCTCACTCACACGCGCAACATCATAATGAACACGCACGCATGCACGCATGCACGCACGCACGCACGCACGCACGCACACACACACACATACACGCACATACTAACGTTCACCCGCACTCTTCTTTCGTTTTTCTTGTCGTAATAAAAAAGATCGATCATACGCTACGAATCAAGGTCTAATAAATTTTGAACTATGCCAATCAATGTAGTACCATAGTAAACTTAAATTATGAAAATGTTTAATCAGTAAATGTTTGATCGGGCGTATCAATAAACATTACGTATTTGCTTAATCAAATGAGATTTTAGTTTACTACAGGAATAATAATGTATTTTATACAGATACATCGCTATAATATAAAAATGGAAATAGTTAACTTAATCCCGTACAGATTACGTTAAGTGATAGTGTTTAGTACTAATTGTAATATTTGATTTTGTTAATTTATAATTATTTACCTACTATGATTATTATTATTATTATTATTATTATTATTATTATTATCATTATTATCATTATTATTATCATTATTATCATTATTATCATTATTATTATTATCATCATCATTATTATCATCATTATCATAATCATCATCATAATCATCATCATCATCATTATTATTGTCATTATTTGTTTTTAATTGTTATCATTATCATTACGATTATTACGATTATTATTATTGTTATTGTTGTTATTGTTATTGTTGTTGTTGTTGTTGTTGTTATAATATTTATTGTTACTGTTATTATTATTAAAAATTTAAAATGATGCAAATTCAAAATCTATATCTATATTGTTCGTCAAGCGTTCGGTTCTCCTTTTTAAAACGATTTTAATTATCCAGCAACAGACACGTTGCGTGATATTTTGTAAAATCTAATACGTATGCACAAGATTACGATAAAGCATTCCCTTTTCATCGCAAGGGAAATGTCGAGATAAAGTTGTTGCGATGACGATAAAAGAAAATTAGCTCGACCATTAAATCATTACTAGCATCGAATGTATCTTCAATTACTATAAGAGAAAAAGAAAATCATGGCGAGCGATTATTAGGGCGAGTGATGTTTATTTTTGGGGAGGAGTTAAAAGGAGATAAAATGAACAATACACTCGGGAAAAGATAACCATTTCACGTAGGACGTGTGAATTGAGTTGGCTCGTAAAAAAGGAGCGCTTAAGGCTTTCCGTATTTATATGTCGCTCGGGCCGGCCTATCGCGGACAGGTCGGCAGATTCACCCTGAAGAAGACGTTGAGCTCGATGAGAGTGGCAAGTATGAGGAAGACAGCGTACATACAGAGACAAGCACGACCGACTTTTCGATCGAGCTGAAAACGATTCGTTGCAAAGGCGATGTAAAGTAACAGTAAGGTGGAAAGTAAGGATATCGCGCTGTACTCCAAGCCCCCGGAGTTGATGCTAATGTAGTGCTGACCTTTGAGCGTCGGGGCAAACGAGGACTTAATGAGCCAGGGCAAGCCTAGGCATAGAAGGATGTCGAACGTGTTTGAGCCGATAGAGTTGCTGATACCCATCGAGCCGTGACCTATGGATTGAACATTATTAATTACAAATTCAGAAGATCGAACGGCAACATTTGATCGCGTTTATAGCGAAGCTAAAGTGGCTTACATTGCAACAAAATCTTTTCGCGTGCTTGACGTAATTTTCAAGTGATATTACATTAAATTATAGTAACTACCTTGTTTGGCAACGATTACACTAGAAACAGCTTCTGGTACGCTTGTTCCTGCCGCGAGGAATGTGATTCCCATAACTGAATCTGGTATTTTTAGCGTGTCACCTGTAAAACATAATATTTGATTAATAAGAGCAATTAGCGCGTTGATTGTTGTGAGTTATCGATTGCTGCATAATCAGTATTCTCTCAACTTTAACCTAGTGCTTAAGCAAAGAGTCTATCTCTTAAATTAATACAAAATAACTTTAATCGATCAATCGGATAACAGAAATCTATCAAAACAAGTAAATTCTTTTTAACGAAATGATGTGTGTGTGCGCGCGCGCGCGCGTATGTATGTATATATGCCAATAAATTAACTATATTTTAAACTATTAATGGTAAATTTATGATTTTAATAATGGAGATTTTAACGAAACTCTTGGTTAAATTTACATAACCTGAGTCCGTAGGCGTAAACTCGAAGAAAAGTTAGGGTGTGCTATGAACATGGAAGTCATGTTCAATTTCATTATAACTTTAACACTCGATTCTGGGAATCTGCGTAAAATTAAGTCTTTTAAAGAAACCATACTACATTACTTACAAATTACTTACAACATTAAATACAACTGGGACAAATTATGCATTTATTTCAAGATATTTTTTTCAAGTACGAAGAATTCGAAACTCTCTATTAGGTATCGATTCCATTAAGTAATATTACAGCTTGAAATTAAATTTATATAGTTCTGTCGATCAATTGCAAAAAGAGTTACAAATTTAAAGAATGTTTTTATATGAAATTATTAACTAATAATTGTTTTTATACAAACAGTTTAAAGCATACTTAAGTAAACTAAGTTGCTTTAATCGAGTAACTTTACGTAATATTATGCTAAATTTATAGCTAGAAAATTGCCTTTTCTCTCTTTTTTTCTTCAATCATTTGTCTTAGATATTATAGTCCATTGATTAATGTATACCTTACAGCTAATAGAGTGATAGATCACATTAACAAATAGAATAATGAATTTTGTCGTCATTCTGAAATTATTACCAATTATTGTGATCATCCAAGCTACGACGTAGCTTAACGATCCAATCCAAATGATACACATAAGAAACGTAATGGGGAACCATTTTTTGAATTTTGGCTTGTCACAATCCGGTATTGTGCACATGAAAATTAAATGAATTGGCCAGGTAAGGATCCATGCGGTTTTCCTTATCCAGCCAGCATTAGATGGCCAAATCAGCAGTTGATACTCGTACTCTGAAAAATAATCAATGACATTTTAAAAATCCAATGCTTATATAAATGTAAATAAAAAACGGTAAGCTTTGCCTATAATCACTGAGAAGCAGCATGATATCAACAAAAGTTAAACTTCTAGAATTCGAATGTTAGATATAGTTATGTGAATAATTCGTTGTATGTTGAAGAGACTAATCGATAATAAATTTTATATTAAAATACAAAGCCTTTGACACCTAAGTTTATTGCTAAATATACAAAGTACCGTGAGGACTTGGACAGATTACGTACATTGAACGTCAACTTTATAGATTAAGAAGAGACGCAATCTTTCATAGAAGATAGAGCAGACGATGTTCGCCCAAAGAGGATGAGTTTAAAAGAAAAAGTAAAAACACAAAGAATACAGAAATCCATGCAGCCCGAAAGTTAATTGCATCGCAGGCAAATTTGCAAACTCGTGCGTATAGATAAGGTTTACCAGGCTCGTGATTATCCTGCGTCTTCGTGCCGCCGTTCTGCAGAGGTACGTCGATAGTCGCAATTTGTTCCACACGATCGGCGGGCGATCGCAATTTATCGGATCTTGATAAGTGAATTTCCCCGGCGTCACCTACGGATCAATATTTAAAGCAAAGCCCCCGTATGTATGACTTCTCTTTTATGTGTCGTCGTCCGTCTCGTTGTCCAGGTGCATAGATCGATATAGAATCATGCGAGCTCGTGTTCTCACTTATTCTTATTATCTCGATCGTGAATATTCTTATAAATAGACAGTAGATATAAAATCTGGTGAAAGGATCGTTGTATTAAAATTCACTATACGCAAAGTAGTAAGTCAATTGGAAAGAGAACTTTTAATGCAATTAATAAATTGTGGCTGTTTTTGCTTCTCGATATATTTTCAATAATTTATCAATAGGCTCTTTAGTTACAAGTTCAACACAAAATATCAAAAAGTTTCAAGGATAGTTCGTAATTGACGATAAGATATCATTATTTAATACTTATTTAATACTAATTGTGTCTGGGCATGAAATAATTTGGCTCTATTGTAACTACTTGATGTAAGTAAGAAATCTAAATTCTAAATGGAGAGTATTTCACATCTATAATAATAATAACTATTTTCTTCTAAATTTTAATTTTAATTTTTAACATTTATTTATAATGGTGTTAATGCAATTGATAACATTATGGACTAATAATGAATAATACATTTTGTGAATAAAAATTTATGAAATAAATAGAGCATAATTGATAATATCATCGCACTAAATATGAAATGATTATGTTCGATCAAATTCTCAATGATGATTTGTAATTTCATATGATATGGCATTGTTGGGTGCTTGCACAATGAGATATTCAAAACTAAAGAGCAATCAATGGCTAATGAAAAATTATAATAGAAACATTATTATAATTATTTATCATGAAAATGCAATTAATATTAGCTGGTCATTTGAAGTATTTCTTCTTGTGCAAAATTTCGATATGCACTGATCAGTTTAGCTCCGGATGCACTTAAATTATTTCATGCCATTAATGGAACTATCATTATAAGTAAAGAGATATTTATCTCATTTTTATCCTATTGAGCTTTAAACTAGATGAATGTTTTATACAATAAATAAAGTGCTTGGGAACACATATAATTATGCATTCATGTTCTATTTAAACCTTCATTATACAAATATAAAATTAACTTTCTTTAATTAAACCACAAACTACGAGTTTAATAAATATTATACGTGAGTTTCATAATAATCTAATTTTTTAAATTACTTTTATACAAATAAAATGATTAAAATACACACTATTAAAATTTCATTATTTCTTTTTTTTCATTTATAATGATATCGTATTTAAGTAATTTTTAAAAATCTCTTCATCAACGGATTGCGAAAATCAGAGTCACAACGAATCAGTCCCAGGATCAAATGACAAGTCACTTTACGTCAATAATACAATAGTTCAAGGACCGTAATGATTATTATTAGAATCGAAAATGATGAAGTGAGCAGACAATATTTTGTTTGCTTTATAATTTCACTCTTATAATTTCAATGGTATGCCAACGTCAAAACTAATTAATTATTTGCTACTTTCTATAAGTATAACTCATTAAGATAGTATTGATCAATAAACAAAATATAAAAATAAAATTATTTTTTCTTAATAAAGAAACTGTACCTAATCAATAATAAGATTTATATGACAAATTTGTACATTCACTGAGAATAATATGTGAAAATATTGTTTATGATCATTAAAAGATATCTCTATAACATAAAGCCATATTATAAAATAATATTCAAATTCACTTCAACATTGGCATTATCAATCAATAAAATTAAGCTTTGTATTTTTAGGTAATGAACATTTTATTTTAAAAATTCTTATAAAATTTATGTATTATTTATTAATTAATAACTGAAAATAATGTAAAATATATCAAAATACTTCGTAAATATAATATTGAAAAACTATAGAAGTTAAATAGATAGATCGAAAAATGTAAAATAATGATAAATATTAATGTTAAACTGAAAATTTGATGAATTTAAAATGAAATAAATCTTGAATGAATAAAGCATGTAATAAATTATAACCATTAATTTTTGTCGATGTAATTCTTCATGGCATTATTAAAGGACATAAATAACTGTTAACTCCAAATTTAATAATTTGTTTTCAAATTATCATTTTTTACCATAAGCCGTAATTTAGCTTTCACTGTATCTTATATTTCAAATAAAACTTATAGAAATTAAAAATTGCGGAAGAATTATATTCTGTAATAATAATAATAATAATAATAATAATAATAATAATAATAACAATAATTCTGTCCTCATAAAAATAAACGTTTTAAATATTTGTGATTTTAACAGGCTATGTTATCAGTATTTAAGCTAATAGAAACGCGATGACTGATTCGGAAAAATTTTATTCAACATTTGTTTTTCCTAGACTAGAGTATACGTTAAATATAACGACAGAACTTAATTTCTCATAATAAAGTATATAGAATATGAAATATTAGGTTGACAATAATGAAAATTATCTAAAAAGTAATACGATATTTGCAAAAATTTATTCAAAGCTCATTAAAATTTGTCCGCTTGTCGTACTTCGCCACTTAACTAAAATCAGCTTACTTTTCATCCATTATTTAAAACAACAAGTGTAAATAATGAAATTAAGTGTGTTGGAATTAGTTTTTTTATGCATAAAAGGGGGGAATAAATTTTATTCCACAGCCAATAATAAGAAACAATAGCAGCGGATCAATTTTAAACTAATATGTCCGTGTCCACTATCCGTGTCTCACCGTCCTCAAAGCAATCCTTCAGACCTAATTTCTAACAGGTAATTCAACAACTTTAATTTATTATTAACGCTAACGCAGTCTCGTCCAAAGTAAAATCGTTAAAAATAAAAAATAAAAAAAAATAAAATAAAATAAAATACTCTCTTAACCCAAATGTATCCTGAAATTTTCAAAATCTTGTGTCACTCTCCACAAGTCTAATGGATTCTTAACGTAACGATACAAAAATAATCCGAGAAACACTCGCTCCTCATGATACAATAACAATCGTTGGAAGATCTCACCAGGCCTCGCGCTCAGGTCATCCGTCCTCGTCGAGCTCTTCCTGCGAAATCTCGCGCACCGCTGGAAGGACTTGTCGTAGTACATGACGGCGATGTACACTATATAAAGAAGGACCAGCGTGAGGGCTTCGTACCACTCGACCCTCTCGTCGTGAATAATGCAGATTAAAATTGCCACGGTCACCCCGTAGGCCAAGCAGTCCCTGCTAACCGGCCACCAGTCGAGCGGCACTACTTGCTGCAAAATACCTTAACGTTAGGACACCGAGAGCTAAGCAACTCCCGCGGCTAATTGAGAAACGAAAGTCAAGGTGGTGTGGATGTGATTAGCGGGGATCGGTCATTAATGGCCATTAATCAATGACAGTGGATGAGTGGTGGGTAGTTTTTAAAAGGGATATCGGCTGATGGTTGAAGGAGGGGACGTGGATGCAGCGCGAAGGGTGGGGATAAGAAAGTGGGATGACTTACCATTCCGGCGCCGATACCACAACAAGCCGGGACAGCGAGGATGTTGAAGACCGCCGAGCCGACGATCGTCCCGACGCCGATGTCACCCTCCGTGATGAAGGTGCCTATTGCGTTAACGAAGAGTTCCGGCGCCGATGTCGCCGCGGCCATGAAGGTCGCGCCTGCCACATCTTTCGACATCGAAAGAGCTTGAGATGGCAGACAAGAGGAGACAATATTATTCCTGGCACTCCTTCGTTATCTCTCTCGCTCACTGGCCCACCCACCCAACCGATATCCCTCCCTCACTGGCAACAATAAAAGTCAAATGCGAGCAGCCAAGTGATTTCAACTTCTCGAGAATTCATGTAGTCTTGGGGTGATGGTCCGCCACTCCAACAGAACTCGGATTATTGGAATTGAAATTTGTAATAAATTGAAATTCGGTTACATACATTCGGAGTCTAATTGAATATTCGCTAATCTACCGGTGATCTGCTAATGAGTTGCGATAAGAGCAATTGATTAGAATGGAATACATTTGTTTTATAGTATATGACGAAATGACGATCATCTGACAAGTCAATAGGCTCAAGGATCACACGTATAATTCAGATAATTTCGTAATTGTAATTAATTTTATAATAGCCAAAAGTTAATAAATAGATCAATGTCTACTTTGCAGAATAATCGATCGTTCGGAATAATTTATCGTTAGTTTACTGCCACGGGATTCCATAGTAACAAAATAAGAAAACATTAATGACTTGTCTCGTTATATTTTATATTGTAGCGACATTATACATACTTTTTACTTTTCAACAAAATTACTTATTCAAATTGAAAAAATTTATCTCATAATCCCAATCAATTCTTAAATTATAATAAAATTATGTATAAATGTATACAGCTTAAATTCACATACTGTCCCATCTAAGGCAAATTCATTTGCTTTACTTTTTCCTAAATCACTTAAAGTTTAACATAGTTTACCAATATTATTTTTAACTTTTAAATACAAATATTATAAAACGTTTTCGAAATCACAAGGATTATCTGTATTTAGTATTTTTCGTGTTTCACCAATGACGTTGATGATCATTGCCAATACATTATAATTTATTTATCAGAAATTGAATAAACGTAATACGCACAATTTTTAATTGAAATATTATTATAAAACGTAGATTAAATAAAATTTTGCATTTAATATTTAATTGCGATTAAATTGAAGTGTTTCAAACGGATAAAGTAAGAAAACATTAACGAGAAAGTATTACAAAAGAATAAATGAAGTGAGACAGAGAGAGAGGGGGGGAGGGGGGATAGAGAGAGACAGAGAGAGAGAGAGAGAGAGAGAGAGAGAGAGACCAAATATAATCTAAATGTAAATATATAAATATAATAAATACATATAAACGTAAGCGACTTATCGCAAATAGAGTCATTATTTATCGTCATTTACGCTATTCAATCATTGAGATATATTTTTAGTTAAACTAAATGAATATATTCGTTCGCATATTTTAACATTACTTCTTACTTTGACTAATTACTAATTTTAATTATGTATTTATTTATATTTTCCGATATAAATATTTGTACGACTATTTCTAAATTGCAAGTGGATGTTGAATAAAAAAAAAATGAAAAAAAATGCCGCAATCAATTACGGAAGTGAAAGCTATAAGTCTTATCTTAAAACAATCTATCGGTTAAATAATATAACAAACAAAATATTTTTAAGTTTTTCATTGAGCAATACATTAGCATTCGCTATGAATATTGATAACGTTTTCGATTGGCTATATGTATTAATTTATTGTTTTAAAACCCTTCAAAATCCATCGGCCATTTTCTTAATTGTTGTTTTAAATTTTATAACGAGCTCGATATCTCTTCCTTAATAATTGCTTAATTTTTATAAAAATTATTATCACAGAGAAGAAAGCGATATTCCATCATCGGTTCATCATCAAAATATCGCAAATTATTAACCGGTCATACGCTAACAACACCACCCACCACATTGCCAATATAATATTTTCCCCATTACCATTTGCTCGTGAGAGATGGATAACATAATCCTCGGTGCCCTTACCGTGGCATATTTTTTCTACCGCAGGTACGAAGAATTTGTCGCATACTACTGCTAAGGCGATGAAGAGGTAAAGTGAGACGAGGACGTGGACAACTACGGCGCCGGCTTGCCGCTGCTTCTCGTTGAAGAGGTCGTGCGGGAAGTCCTCTATCGCCGGTTGCGTGCAATTCGAACCTGCGGAGGCAGATAAAAGGCGAATCAGGCCTGCTTCTTTATTATCTTTTACGAACCCCGGCGTATGCTTGTCGCCTTCTTATCGTTTGCCTACATTTTTCGATGCGAGGGCTGGCTGGGGACGGGAGGGACGCTTACCTCGTGCACTTGCACGTGCACGCACACCTTTATGTACGAGCGGAACGTTCTGGAGCGAAAAAAGCTAAATGGGTGACGCCCGGAGACGAAGATGGCCTTATGAGGTTGAAGCTCGTTCGGCGCTTGGGTCTACGTCATCGAGTGGCAAACACTTTTACGCTAATAATTGGAAATCCCATGCCTTAATTGAGATTTGGTCTATTTGTCATATTATATTTGCCAGACTATTGTACTTACAGGGCAGCGACATGTTCCTTCGCGTAAACATCATAACCATGTAAAGATTTTGTTCATTTTCGTTGAAACGAAAACTCATAAGAAGCTGATAATTACTGTCGATGCAATATCGATAGGTCCATTATTATTGAATAAATAAGACTTTCAATAATTTTTTCTTTACTTTTTACATTCATTTTATCCTATGATTTTATGAATATGTATAGACTATGCTCAACAACAAGTAATATTGTATGCAATTAGTATTGTCAGATATATAAAGAGTAATAAATTCGGAAAGTTTCTATCTCGATATATTCAATAATTGTACAAAAATGATCTAAAATAACCTATTTGTTTGTTTCTTTTTTTTTTTTTTTTTTTTTTTTTTTTTTTTTTTTTTTATATTTACCATTAAGTCTTAACAAGTAATTATAAATTAAAAATTAATAATAATTCGGCATGTCTATGTAAAAATGCATCCATCTTAAATATAATGTTAATACACGATTCTGTTGTACACGAGATAAGAGTAAATTTCATGGTAATTTTCTTTTACATGACATTTTTTATTAGCAAAGTCTTTACTTATTTAATTGAAGGAGGTAATTGTTTAATATAATAATGCGTCTACGTCGTACGTATTAGCTAGCACGAATCGAGCTTCAGAAGTCTTAGACGCAATGAAACAATGACAGCTCGTAATCGTCGATTAATCTGATTTCTCCTACTTTATCGCAAGCGTTACCACGATAATCTTGAAATTTCATAAAAAATATATGAGAACAAAAGAGCTCAGACATCAAGCTAATTCAAAGTCTGCTGTTCACAATTGAATCTGAAATTCAATTAATTCCAGATTTATTCATCCTTTCATTCGGAACTCTTGTATAGTAACTTAATAATCATAAATCCGAAACCATAATAAATAATTTCAACAGGACTTGGTAACAACATTTTTTTCCCATTTCGATGTCGAAAAGAAATCATAACAAATGAAAAAAAGATAGAGAGGTTATTAAATTAGTTATTCATTCAACCTCGATTTATTTACAAATTATTACAACTGCCAATTTAATCCGCAAATAATAACACTGTGGCATATAATAGTGACTAAATGTTTTTGAATATTGTTTCACAATATTTTTAAATATACTGCGTAACAAATACGAAACAACGAGTATTACGTGTATTACAAGCGTGGGTTCGGAAATGTTAACTAATACCAAAAACTATAAAAAAAAAAAAAAAATTATAAAAAATATCATAATAAAAAAGAATGATTTCCAGGTAAATTAATACTCTAAATACACGGATTTTATATTTGTTGTTTGAAAAACGAGTTTCATCCAACCTGTAAGTTATTTACATACCATTCGAAACTTAATAATTAATAATGATTAGTAGATAATACAGATCTCATTGATTACGAAGAAAAGTCACAAATTATATCAGTTGAGTTCACTCAAGAAATTCCAATTTTTACACATTAAAAATCTTACGAATAATGTAACTTGCTTGTCAAAAGCGTCATAGTGAATTAATTGTCTCTAATTTATTTATAAAATTCCACACAAAGTCGTTTACACATTGTTTGCTATTACTAGTATTATTAGTATTGCTGTTATTATTACTGTTGTTTATAGTTATTGTTATTACTGTTGTTTATAGTTCTTGTTATTGTTGTTGCTGCTGTTTTATGAATGGTATTATTTGCTATTGTTGATTAACGAGTCCCCATAACGAAGATTTGTTTCTGGCTTTGTACCAAGACCGGCTGTAGTTTTAATTAAGCTTACAAACGAATTCGTCTAATTAACTTATTAATTCTTCTTTATCATAAAGGAAATTTAATAGTATAACGTAAATTTTCAGCAGTAAATTTTCTAAAATATTTGCAATAATAAAAAATGTCTGAATCATTTGTTAGCTCACTAACTCTTAGAACAATTTTAAATTAAATTCAGCGGATTTACACCAATATTGATAAATAATGTTATGGGCAATCGATGGAAAACCGTAAGTAAATTATATTTTCAACTCATTATTGAGCTATGGTGAGTATAAAAAGCCAGAGATTTCGTTAAATGTACGTACAGATATATTTTCGTTAGATAAATTTAAAAACTGTTTCTATTATGCAAAATGTTTTATACTACTTTGCACGATTAATTAATATCTCTGTATGTAGATGTATATAATATCGCTGTTAGTACTAGTAAAAATCATGGTTTACGAGGTGTATTAATTTCAAATTAAAGATATAGTTTTAAAAAAAAAGTAAGTTGCGATAGATACAAAATTGATGAAAATATGCATGACTAATTTATAGTTATTTATTAAAACTGTTTCAACATTTACGCGATTCATTATCAATCGGCTTTTAATTTTTTTTTTATTTTATTGTTTTTTTTGTAAAATTATTTTAATGTTATAATTCCAAAAGAAACCTAATGTTTGTAGTTATAATTAAACCTTAATAACATCTATAAGAATAAAAATTTGTAAAATTTCGTAGAAGTAATGTACGTAATTTTAAATTACTTATAATTTCATATAATATAACTGTATTCTTCTATCATTTTACATAAATGAAGTTTTATTCTCAAAAGCTTGCTCTTGCTCGGCTTACTATCAATTGCTTACATTGACTTACAACTCAGCCTATTCTCATAAATTATTAACTGGATTATAAATTCTCGATTTGTATAAATAAACATAATTCAAATTGATGTATTTTACTTTATAATTTTCAGCAAAAGTGTAACCGGAAAGTGTGTGAAAATTTCATGTTTTAAAAACAAATTGATTACATTTATCTTTTAATCTTCAAATAAAATGAATTATCTTTTCGAATACCCACTCCGCCCTCCTTCTCCTATACTATCCCAATAATCAGCGCCTTCAAAAACTTATACATAATGCATAATACAAGTCCAGCCGGCACGAAAGAAATTGACTGCCCAAATTCATATTATACGTACTGGCAAATTATTTTCTAAATCTTCCTACAAGAGGCAACTTAATATGACATCAAGGATTTCTCATAATGACCTTTAGCAGCCGCCACATTAATTATCCTCCGAGCAGCCGTACGTAAAAGTGGACGTGTGCACGTTCGACAAAAGAAATCGGCAAACACGAGCCCCGTAGAAAGAGGAAGGAACCTCGAGAGATAAGAGCGACACCAGGTACGTGGCTGCCTCTTATGCGGGATGGCGATAGCAACAGGACGACGAAGAGGATGAGGACGACAAAGCCTCGGGCCCGAGATATCCGACGAGGGTAGCGCGTCAAAGGTAAGCGCATCGATTACTTTTGAATTGCTATATGGACAAACTTGATAATATTTGGTTGCTTGTTGAAGTGCAAATGCTCATTAAAATAATATGCAATAGACGTACTTTTAAGGAGATAGCTAATACATAAATGCATAAATAATTTAATAATAATTAATGTAAACAATACTATTTTAGACGTTCCGATTTCTTTTTATCATCCTGAATTCGAAATGATATAATAATTATGATCGTATTACTCAATGAGTAAATATTACCATTGTTGTAATCCATAATGTATGATGGTATAATACGTAAATTAATATACCTTTTCAATTTATGGAGTTTTATAAAAGAAAAAATATTAAATGTATTTAATTAATGCTAATAATTCAAAAATATAATGAACCGGATGAATTTGATAAAACGTAATAAAGCTTATTTTAATGAAATAGAGATAGATTGACAGGTTGCATATTTAGGTTATCAATCTGAGACTGTAAATTTTTTGCTCTTTTTCATTTACTTATCGGCAATTTACTTTATCGTAATATTATAAATTTTTATTGATAGCTGCTTACGGAGCTTTACGAGTTTTTTTAATGTAAAATCGAACAATTTCTATATTAATTAATCCGAGTGTAAAATATCGATAGTTTGTTGCAATTTCATTATAAAAATTTTCATTAATATAGGTCGATTACAAAAGACGTTTTCCAAATATTTTCTAAAATAATAAAAAATTCAACAATTTCTTAAATTTTTTTCGAATGTAAATAAAAGTGAGCAATTTTGCCAAATTAAATAATTTTATTACTGATCGCAATAATATATAATCGATATTGAACTCGATTCAGTTATTTATTTCTTAAGATGCAAAACTTAATTATTAATGATTAATCGAATTAGTTTATAAATCCTAGAATTTTAAAATTTTTAAAAAACTTGAAAGTTCCTATAGTAGCAAAATAAGAGATATAACAGGTTAATTATTATAAAATGATAATTTTCTTTCATTAAATAAAAAATAAGCTCGATAATGAATATTTTATGATTGAAGAACAATGCAATGGCATTATACATATTTACTATAAATTTATTTCAAATTATAATAAAATATTATCACTTTCATAAATTCGTAAATTATCGATATATTTTTAGACAAATCATCATAGAATTAATTTTGTAAAGTATTCGTTAAAACGTTTGTGTATTTATCTAAGATTTCAACATTCTTAAACTTTAATGAAAATTTCAGTTCAATAAAAGTATTATTCTACACTTGCAATCTTTCTTTATGTCTTCATTTCGCGCTAGTAAATTTCAGTTTCATACTTTTAGCAAACAATTATGATTGTGATAATGCTGTAACAATATTAGTATCTTTAAAAGAAGGAGAACACATACAACGATCCGTTCTGAATTTCAATATTCTAATTCCAATATC